AAAAAAAAAAAAAAAAAAAAAAAAAAAAAAAAAAAAAAAAGACAGGGTCTTGCTATGCTGTTCAGGCTGGCCATGAGGTCACTTTGTAGTCCAAGCTGGCCTTGAACTCACAACAATCCTCCTGTTTCAGCTTCCCGGAGTGCTGGGATTATAGGCGTGAGCTACCATGCCTAGCTTTTTAAATTTTTTTTTTTTTAGATGTTTTTTCTCTTATTTAAAAAACAAATGAAAAAATTAAAAAACAAATAAACCAAAAAATCCAAACGCCTTAGGGTATTCCCTTAAGCATACTTTCTCAGGATAATATTCTGCATATAATGGTGCCTCCTTTCAGGACCTTTGCGGTACTGGTGATTGAACCCAGGGCCTTGTACATGCCAGATGAACAGATTAGCACCAAGTTACACCGCATTTTTTTTTTTTGCCAGATCTCAACCTTGCCATTCTCATGTGTCAGCCTCTTGAGAATCTGGGAGCACAGGCCTGTGACACCATCCCCTGCTATAATACTGTAATTAGTAGATTTACATGCTATTCAACTTTTTTTTTTTTTGAGACAGGGTCGTACTAAGTAGTGCAGGCTGGCCTCGAACTCATGGCGAGCCTCCTGCCTTAGCCTCCCGAGTCCTGGGATTATAGGCGTGCGCCTTCACACCCGGCTTTATGTGTTATTCTAAATCAGTTTTCACAGAATGATATTCCTAGTATTTGGAATTGGTTAGTATTTTGAGTCCTCTAAATAACTGGAGAAAAACTATTTTTGTTAATTATTGAAAATAAGACTAAAACTTTTATTGATCCAATATGCATTAAATGTGATCTGGATAGTATGTTATTATTTTTGTGGTGCTGGATCGAACACAGAACCTCACATATGCTAGGCAAGCACTACCGAGCCACATGCCCAGGTCCTCATGTTGAATTTTGACAGTGCATTAGCCAGGAATTATAAACCCCAAGCCGAAGCATATATAATTACAATGTAGCAAAACTTTCTGCCATTATTTCATTTCAAAGTATCTAGAAAGTATCCTCGTTTCTTTTTCTTTTGTACTATTGCCTAGTAAATCGGGATTGAGCCCAAGTCTTTCACACAGAGCTGCAACCTGCCCTTTTAAATTACAACAGGGTCTCGTTAAATTGCCCAGGCTTGAACGTGTGCTCTTCCTGCCTCATCCTCCCAGACTGCTAGGATTACGCGAAAGCGCCGCCACACCCGGCTCCACATCCCATCTTGAAGAGTTCGTATTTTATCAAGTTTGTAAACGCCAAGCAAAGGCTCTGGCCGAGGTCTGCCCTTCCCAAGCGGCCAGGTGCGCGGGGCGTCGCCGCGCGAGGCCGGCGTGAGGTCCGGGCTGATGGCCGCGGCCCTGTGGCCACGCACCGCGGTCCGACCGTGCCGCCGCGGCCAGCTGCCGGCGAGCACCGTCGGAAGACGCCCGCGCCACCCTTAGGCCGAGCTGGCCTGGTTTCTGCTTACTCCCCGGGGGCCAAGCTCCGCACACTCCCTTCGGCGGGTTTGGGGGCGCCAGCGCGGCCTGCCGACGGACACAGAGAGACCACCCCCGCCCCAGCACCGGCTTTGGCGCCTCAGGCCAGAGCCACCCCAGTGGGCGGAGGAACGAGAATCTCGCGAGACCCTTCGGAAGGGGCGGGGCGCGCACGTGCACGCGCCCGCGAGCCGTTAGGGCGGAGCCCCTCCCGGGCGGGGCGGGCGGAGCCACGGCGGTTGGACGCCAGTTGGTGCAGCCCCCGCGGGAAACGGCTCAGCGCGAGGAGCGTGCGCGCCCCCGCCGCGGCGACGGTGGCGGCGAGCGGCGTCAGCGCCGAGGGGGGGGGCTGACGGCTTCTGGCGGGTGGCGGTGTTGGAGGCGAGAGCTTGCTTAGCCCGTGTCGCTTCTGTCCCTGGAACAGGACGGAGAGTGCGGACACGAGGGGCGCTTTCGGAGGCTGCCGTCTTCCACGTACACGTCGTCGTGAGGAGCGCAGCCCGGACGCTCCCGCGGCCCTGCCGGCTCCCTTTCCTCAGGCCTCGAGGCGGCGGCGGCGGCCACCGAGACAGCAGCGCACCTCCCCCTGCCCCCACCCCTCATCCCCCCGCCCGAAGGGGCCCGGTCTGCGCCCCACCCCCGCCCGTCCGCCCTCTACGCCGCCGCCATGTCGGCGCAGGCCCAGATGCGCGCGATGCTGGACCAGTTGATGGGCACCTCCCGGGACGGTAAGCCTCTGCCAGAGCCCTGGGGGTGGGGGAGGGGACGGGCCGACGACGGAGGGGGTCCGAGGGCGCACCTGGGCGCGCGCGTGCGGTTGAGTAAGGGGCTCCCAGATTGGTAACACGAGGGCCCCGGCTCCCGTCCCATCCAATCGGAGCTTGGCAGGCGGGCTTGGGGGCGGTGACCGTGCGGATTGGCGGGAACTGCTGCCAATGGGGCGAGGCGGGGCCTGGGGGCTGAAAGGAGAGTTTGTGCTGTTACTGTTGACTTGGCTGGGATGGGAGAGCCCACGTCTCTCGTGCGTAGTCGGGCGGCACGGTTTGCAGCCGATTAGATACCTGCGGACCGTTAAGGCCTCCGCCCCGATGTAGTTCCTTAAACCGGAGCTTTGGGATCATCTCTCGCGGCGGCCCTCCAGAGTATTCCAGAAAGAGCCCCCACCCACCCCCTTCCTGGGTCTGGAGGAGATCTTTACTGCCAGCCCCGTCCCGGAGATGCACCGTGAAGCCCCACGGAATCAACCATTTTTATGGAAAATCTGACCCAAACCATGGTTTCTTGAAGTGGGTGTGTTTGGCCCCATTTTGTGAAAAGAAAAATGTTATGGCCTGTTTTTCCGAGAGACCTCCATTTTGTTAGACAATTTAATAGAGGCTTTGTTCAGTAAATATTGACAAATCTTGCATGCGCCCCAAATAGAACCATTTTGGAAATTTGATGCCCAGTGAAGTAGAATTGAGGGAAACAAAGAGCTTTTTAGGCACTTAGCTTAGAGTCTGTGTAGAAAGCCACGACGTGTTGGATTATCCTTTGTCATAAAGAGAATTTTTAAGTAAAATGATGAAATGCTGTTCCTGTTCTCATGATGATAAGTCGTAACGTACTCTTTCAAATTCAGCTTAAATCCATTCCAACTTGGAGGGAAGGTCTAGTTCAGTACTTGAGCAAAATGCTTAATTGTTTTTATATGTTGCTTGCTTGGAAAAATAGTTTCTTAGCCGTTTAAGTGCCTTTTTTCTTGACAAGTTATTTAAATTGCTTGGTTTAGAAAAGTTACTTAAATTTAGTTTGTACCAGTAGCTTTTATAATTTGCTTAAGGGCTTTGCAGCAAAATATATGAGGCTACAAAAACTTTATTGAATTCCAGTGTTCTAGCAATGCATATTGACTGGCATTTCAAGGGGTTTCGGTTTTTTAAAGACCCCTTTAGGGAACATATAGACAAATAGGTGTAGATGGGCAGTCCGTGGTTGTGTAGAGAGGAGAAAAAGGCAGGGAAGAAAATGAATTTTATTTGTGTAGTAAACCTTTGAAAGTTAACATTAATTAAAAATGTCATCGGGGTGTATGGGTGCATGCCTGTAATCCCAGCACAATGGGAGGCTGAGGCAGGAGGATAGCAACTTGGAACTCAGCTTGGACAATTTAGCAAGACTGTGTCTCAAAAAAAAAAAGGCTAAGGATGTAGCTCAGTGCAGAGGACCTGGGTTCAATCCCCAGTGGGGTGGGGCTCAATGGAGAAACTTTTTAACAGTTAATCATTTTTTATGGTTAGATAAGAATGGTTTATAACTGCAACATGTCTTAATATTGCTTCTTTTACAACATGAAGAGAGGATATTGGGTAGAAGTGTCATCCAGAATTCGAACAGAATAAGCCATCTTTTTCTTTTCTGAGACAGGGTCTTGCCATGTAATTCAGACCAGCCTTGAACTCACTATGTAGCCCAGCCTGACCTCAAAGTCTTAGCAGTCCTTCCTCAGTCTCCCAAGTGCTAGAATTACAGGCATGTACCTCTGCACTTGGCAGTGCTTATAATAATTATAGAAATCATGATCCTTTTAATCCTTGATGGATACTGTTTTTGATACCTTCTGCAGAGAGACAGGGTCTTGCTAGGTAGTCCAAGCTGTGCTTGAACTCACTTTGTGGCCCAGGCTGGCTTTGAACTTGCGGCGATCCTCCTGCCTCTGCCACAGGAGTGCTGGGGTTACAGGCTCATGCCACTGTGCCGGGCTGGATTTCCTCTAATTACTGGAAGGGTAATGAAGATGAAGATAACCATCACCTGATATATTTCCATACTAGACAGGTCATCTAGTATTGCAAAACTGAACTAATATTTATGCATATATGTGTTGCATATATGTGTTCTGGCTTGTGTATTCCCAGTAGAAAGCTGGATTTCTTAAGATCCATTCTGCTTTGTATACAAATAAATTTACATATTTTATGTCCGCTGGATTTTTTTTTTTTTTTTTTTTTTTTTTTTTTTTGAGACAGGTTCTCGATTTGTAGTTCAGGCTGGCCCTGAACTCTCTTTGTAGTCCAGGTTGGCCTCAGACTCATGGAGATCCTCCTGCTTCAGCCTCCCAAGGGCTGGGATTATGTGCATGCGTCGCCATGCCCGCCTACATGTTACTGGATTTTTTTTAACCTCCAGATATAGAGGATTTATAAATAAACTCACATTTACCAGCCCACCATACTACTGTATTTAGGTGAAATGACTGGAGTTTTATTGCTGCATTGGGTCAGAAGTAAGCAACATACCACTTTCAAGGAAAAGAATTGTTTTAGATACTTAAATTAGTTATTTTACAATGTAAGAATCAGTATAATTCTTTTCCTTCTCATTAAATATTTAATGAATTTTTGTATTTGAATTTAAAATTCAGGAAATTTAATTAGGATTATTCTTTTTTAGCAGTCACCTTCAAGTTATCCAGGGATAGGGGAGCTTGGACACATCATTGGATAACACCGTGTAATTTGAAACCATGTAATGAGAAGCCTTGTATTGGACACGAACAGCTTATGGGGGTGCTGTTGGGTGTCGTTGGCTCTAAGAGGTGGAAATGGGGATGCAGGAGGTGGGAGAGAGATGGAAAAGGTAGGTAAGGAGGGCATTTCAGACAGCTTTGTCCATTGTTACTTACTTATTTTTAATCTGAGAGACTGTAAAACGCCAATCTGCTTTTGTATAGTAGAGCTCAAGGTGGCAGTAACCCCCTCAACATTTAGTGTCCTATCTGAAAGAATCTGAAGTGGCTTTTGCGTTCTGTGGCTCTGGGAACATGTTGCTCCCCTTTTCTAAAAAATATCTTCTCCCCTCCCTTTCCAGCAGTTTTTAATTAGTACTTTTATAAAGTTGGAGGTGTAAGTCTGTTGTATCTTATCTTGAATTATTTCAGTCAGTTAATTGTGTAGTTAAGTGTCACTGGAATCCTCAGGAATAGGAATTTTGGTGGCAGGGAGAGGTAGTTTGGGATCACTGGGCATATTCAGAGAGACAGTTTGGTGAGTGGTGCAAGTGGGGGCCTTTGGCAGTCGGAGGGCAGCATGATGGTGCTGGGTGGTTGGGCAGGGGTGCAACTAGGAGGTGGGAGAGGAATGCATAAGGGAGGTGGGAGGGCCAAAGACAAACTTTGCCTTCTTTGCAATTTTGCCTAGGGCCCTGGTGGTGGCAACCGCCTGTGTGCCACTGAAAATCGTGCCGATGCCTGGCATACTGCATAAATGGAAGCAGGGTACCGCGTGAGTTGAAACATTGGTCACACTATATAAAGTTTGTATATGTGAATCAGTGTAACTCATACCCATGTAACTGGGGGTCTGACTGTATTTGGATTTTTCTAATAAGGCATCATGGGCTAAGGAAAGAGCACTGGGCTGAGATTCAGGAGACCTGGTCTCTAATTGTAACCTTGGGTAAGTCACTTAACCTTTTTTGCCTCAAGTTAAATCTGTAATTTGTTATGGGAAACTAAATTTCCTGTTATACTAAAAAATGTCAAAGTTTTTTTTAAAGGGAGGAACCAAAAGTAGATGTTAACAAATAATTTATCTTGAGTTTAAGGTTCATTACATTTTATAAATGCCTTTTGTTTTAGTTATTAGCATTAGTAAAACGAGATTCTTTTCCTTGAACATATTCTATTTAATAGTAAGGAGGAGCCACATAGGAAAAATCAAGAGCCCTCATACAGACTGATCATTTTGACTAGTTTGCATTATTTGCAAGGATGTCTAAATGAAACCCCTTTTGCCAACGTAGTTTGGTTATAAGAATCTTCTGTCTAGGCCTGATCCCAGAAAGGCCTGGGAAGGTTCTAGGGATTAGGAATGAAACAAAATGGTGGGTTTAAGTAAAATCCTAAATTTAGAGATAGGAAGTTTACAGAGGGTTGTTCCAAGGGCTCATATTTTTTCACTGCTTTGAATGGGAGCAGAGATCATCTCTTGAGGATAAAACAGCCAAGCAATGATAGTGTACCCTCAAAACCTATAGACAAAGGTAGACTATAGGAATCTTATAGCACCATCAATTGTCCGTGGTTAGAGACTAGTTTTGGCAAGTTACAGCTTTCAGATGATTTTAGCTGTGTTTAGTGGTAATATTACTAAAATGTGTGATACACTTCTGTGATTAATAGAGGCTATAAACATAGTCCTGCTGAAGTTACATTGTTTGTGAAACTTTATTCAGGAAATACCTAGGAAAATAAGTTTAGAAAGTACTTTACCTGTTCCTAATACAAGTTTAGTAATACCTGACTTATACCATTGAAATTATTTCATCAAAGATTGAAGTAGTGTTTTTTTCTCTCTCCTTTTTTTTTTTTTTTTTTTTTTGTGCTGCTGGCATTGAACCCACGGCCTTGTACAAGTGGTTGTGCTTTCTTCAGTGGGTTTTCTTCTTTATGGAATCATCTTTACTGTAACCTGTGTTCCTTGACTTGTCATCAACATTAAATGATCTTTCTCAATTTTCTCTCATTAACATAATAATCTTATTTCTCGGTCAGTTATAAGCCATTCTTTTATTCCACTTGGATCATTCATTTTAAGTGAAGGAGGCGTAGCCATTAATGTAAAAGCACACATTTTTGACGTAATAATGGGATATATCTTAGTCTAGAGCATATAAGTTCTTTTTTTTTTTTTTTTTTTTTTTGTTAGAGCATGTAAGTTCTTTAACTAGCCGGGTTCAGTGGTGCACACCTGTAATCCCAGCACGTGGAAGGCTGAGGCAGGAGGATCGATGCGAGTTTGAGACCAGCATGGGCTACAAAGTGAGCTCAAGGTCAGCCTGAACTGCATATGGAAACCTTGTCTCAAGACAAAAAAAAGTTCTTTAACTGTAAGAAATTCTAGCTAGGTGTGGTGGCACATGCCTGTAATTTCAGCCTTCAAGAGGCTGAGGCAGGAGGATGGCCATGAGTTTCAGGCTAGCCTGAGCTACATAGTGAGCCTGTCTCAAAAAAAAAAAAAAAAAGAAAAGAAAAGAAAAAAGGTTTGTAGAGCCCTTGCCTAGCATGTGTGTGGCCCTGGGCTTGATCCCCAGCATCACAAAACAAAAACAAACCAAAAAAACAAAGAAAATTATTTTGCCTGTGTTTACAGAAGCTCTATAAGCAGGAAGTAATACTTTGAAAGTCTAGTAGGATGTTGAAGTGAGTTGTATTTTTGAGGACAAGGAGTTCAGAGGCAAGTAGGTCCCCTAGGTTGAGATCAGGGTTATTGAGTCAGTGTTCAATAACAAGTGTTTCATGTAAGCCTTGAAGCTTGAAGTTGTCAAGGGTTCATGGAGGGAGTGAGACTGAGAAGATAGGCAGATGGCTTAAAACTGAAGGTTAGTAAGTCTGGGGGCAAGGCTAGGTAAGTTGAGACAGATAGTTCTTAGGAGTGGGATTTGAGAAAGGTGCTTGAAATACACTGAATTCTTACAGCTCAGTAGTATATAGCTTTTGAGGAAATAGCACAGTTCTATCCAATTCAATCAGTCTACTAAGAAATTGTAGACTGAGATATTGAAGGAAGTTGCAGTAGGTTGCTGGGGAAGGAGTGAGAGAGTAAAAGGATAAGTTTCTGAGAGGAACCTTGGGGCTTTAGCATTGTTATACAGGTTCATTTTTGTTTTTATTTAAATTTTTATGCATCGGCAGCTGCTAGGGTACAGATTGGAAGACAAGGTCAAAATCATTTAATCAGTGTTGTAAGATTATTGAGAGAAAAGTGGTTTGTAAAAACTGAAACTGTCTACAGCTTCATGTTTTTGTTTTTAACAGTAGCAAAGATTTATTAAAGGTAGGAAAAGAAACGGGGTCTGGAGAATGAGTTTGGGCCAAGTACAAGGAAAAGAAGCACAGTCTGCAGGGTTAGAGCAAGCCACTATGAGAGAGAAAAGCGGCCCGTGTTTTTAACTGAATAACTTACGACTGAGAAATTGAAGAAAATAACATAGTTCAGACAACTGAGTAAATGTCGTTTTGCTATTTAACAGTGGCTAGACAAAAGTCTTTTAAAAATTATTTTTTCTATAAAACAGTATTGTGATCTAGAGGTTTAAATTTAGTTGTGAACCATGTACAACTGATGTTTGATCTGTTAGACTCAGTGTGAACAGAATTTGGTTAACTAGCTGCCTTTGCTGAATCTGTTGTCATGTGTTGGAATATGGTAAAGTGTTTTGTTTTTATTTTTTGTTGAGATCTTGGATTTCTGTTTTTTGGTTTTTTTTTTTGAGACAAGGTCTCACTATGTAGTTTGGGCTAGCCTTGAACTCTTTATGTAGCCCACGCTGCCCCAACTCACAGCAAGTTTCCTGCTTCAGCCTCCAGAGTGCTAGGATTACAGGCACACCCAGCTCGAAATCTCAGATTTCTGTAGACATTAATTAGCTCTTTCAGAGTCAAACTTCCAGACTTTTGCTTTTCATTAGAAGTAGGTAGTGGGTAGTATGTGCCATATAGAGTACCAAGTTCTGTACTACGTTCTGTGCCACTGTTAGGTAATGCAATATACCTTGTTCAATTGCTTGAGGGTATATTTTAGGTAAGGGGCTGGTTCTGTGGCTACTGGCTTTTTGTAAATAAAGTTCTATTGGAACATGATCATGCTCACTCATCTACCTTCTGCCGTGGTTGCTTTACCTTACACACAGCAGAGTTGAATAATTATAGAGTAATATGGCTGGCAAGCCTGAGATGTTTCTTTACCTTTTAAAAAAAGAGCTTGTGAATGACTATAGGTTACTGAGGTCCCCAAACCAGCAACCTCAGTATCACCTGTTAGCTTAATTAGCAATGCAAAGTTTGGGCCTACCTGCTGAATCCAAGTTCTGGAGAAGAGGCCAGCAATCTGTTTTAAGAAGTATTCCAGGGGGCTGGGGATTTAGCTCAGCGGCAAAAGCGCCTGCCTGGCAAGCGCAAGGTCGTGAGTTCGGTTCCCGGTACCGGAGAAAAAC